CTTTTTAAGAAATCAACCTTCCTTTTCCTGCTCTTTTCTGATTGAAGACCTCTAACATTAAATGTTATTATTTTAATGTTACTCATAGATTCACTAAAGGAAAGTCCATTTCAAAATTATTACCTCACAGAGGACTTGGTCTATTATCCTTCCGCTTATCTTTTCCACAGCTAGAGGCAGAAACACTCCTTTTTCTACCTCCTCTCATGTCCTCGTTGACAAGCTCATCGAGGGCCGGGTGACTTCCACTGAAGAAGGTCTTCCTTTTTCCTTTCGTTTCGTCAGGCAGAGCAGCAAAGGCCAGAGACGCCGCCTCTGTAAGAGGGGAGGATCCAAGGTCCTCGCTATCTCCGTTGTCATCAGATGTCTTCTCACTGTCGATTTCCTCGTCATCACTATCGCTCTTGTTCTCGCCATCAGATGTCTCTATGACCAGGTTACCACCCAGCTCTTCATTACTCTCGTCACTTTTTTCACTTGACTGAGACAGTGGAGATGGTAACTCATCTTGGATAGGGCTAGGTTGGTTAACCTGATCATCCACTTGTGGATTATCTAATCCAAGCGAAACCGCGAGTGGCAGCGAGACTGATGTCGGGGGAGGAGGAAGAGGAGGAGAGGGGGGAGCCTCTCTCTCCTGGGCATTCGCGGGGGCATCCATTGCTTGAAAAGGATCCTCCAAAGACGGGAAATCCAAAGTGTCTGAAAGTCGAAGTTGTCGGAAAGACTTAAGTATGTTCACAAAAGACTTGGGGCATTTGAAGAAAGTATGCCCTTTCAGACCACAAAGGGAGCATTCACTTTCATTATGACAACTTTTAGCCTTGTGGCCCAACTCACCGCATTTCCAACATTTAATTGTGGGGCATTCTCTCGCCTGGTGGTCTAAATCTTGGCAGATAAAACACCTCACTGTTTGTCCTGGATAAATAATCCTGCCATTATAGGGGCCCAACGAGATGGAATTAGGAATGGAGATTATATGTCCAGCTTCATCTCTACGCATCCGAACTTTGTATTTTTGGACTCCATACCAGAATCCGAATTTATCCACTGGCTTGATGGGAGGTTGAAGAATCTCGCAATACCTTTTAAGATATAGCTCGATATCTTGGTCTGGAATCCTTCCAGTCCAGAATTTAACAACAAGAGTCACTACCTCTACCTGGACAGAAGACTCCACTTGCCAGTCTTTCCATTTCGGGTGCGATGCGTTGGAAAAGGAAATCTCTAAGAAGC